AAAGTCTCCAAGAACAGGGCAGACTTCATAATTTCATACTTGCTGATGACTGAGTTCAAGCTGCTGGGTCAGAGATGCAATATAGCGTGGATATGTTTGCCAATATATTTGCCAAATGCAGCCTTAGAAAATGCACTGAAGTAATGTATCAGGCTGTCCATGAAAGACCTTTCTCTGTTCAAAGGTTTCACCCCATTTCGGCCAGAACCATATTAGCAGTAGATAAATTGTCTTATCTTAGTAGCATGCTCTCTTGATGCCTTTATTAATTACAGGGCATATATGAGAATTGCCGAGACAAGTGTACCCTTCAGCAGATGTCAAACATCAGTCCACCTATCAAACAATGGATCTATAGAGCAATTGTTCTGTATTCTGCACACGTGAGATCTAGATCTGTGTACCAGTGCTATGTCAGGAAGTTTCTGACCATTAAATGACAGGACAAAGTACCGCACACTGAGGAGTTCACATGTGCTGGCATGCTAAACATCCACCCTATATTGAGACAGTCACAACTGATTGTAGCTAGAATACCAAAGTGAGTATTCTATAAAGAGCTCACGTGTACTATCACGGTGGTTGAAGGAAACACTACCAGGCCATTATGAAATGTTGTGACTTTTAATTCAAGTCTTGATAGAAGCTGGCCAGGATCACTGCCCCTGTTCAGCTGAATAAAGAAAACATGCTTCAAAAGGAAGTATCTAAGACAGACGAAGAGAAAACTCAAAGTGAGGAAATCCTATTCTTGCAAGTCATCCAAGCCTCTGTGGTAAAAGTTGGGAAAATCTTGTACTGAGTGTCGCAGCACCTTCCGGAAGCAGATTGGTTTTTTAATGTCATCTGTGTACTCACCAAGCATCCTAGATGATGAACATGTCATGTTCACTTCAAAAGACAAACATGAATCGTCCTTATCAATCATGGGACACGTAAAGTCACCATCGTCCTACTGGATCATAGGGCTGCTCTCTTATTAGAGATAGAGATGGCTGGTAGTAGTTATAAATTGAGGGTCACCACTTTTCAGGTGAAGGAAGAAGTTAAAAGGACAGTTGTTCATGGTAATTTCAGCTGGTGTGGTAAATGAGCCTATGCTGTTGGCACCCACACTGCATCACAAACCAGCCATTTAGAGAACTGAGCTAACCAATTCCCATCCACTGTAACTATGACTCATCTCATTAATTCATACATTACTCTCACATATTTAATACTGCTGCAAATCATGTACTTACATCTCATTTTTTGCATATACTACCAGCTAGGTGCATCACCTAAACACATTGCACAACATTCATTGACATACTTTCCTCACTTTTTCAGGTCAAGCTGGTCCATAATAGACAACTGCAGCAACTAATTTAAATAAAACAAAAACTGCAGATGCTGGAATTCTGAAACAAAGCCAGAAATTGCTGGAGTAACTCACCAGGTCTGGCAACATCTGTGGAGAGAAAGGAGAGTTAACTTTTCAAGCCTAATGATCCTTCTTCAGAACAGTTGACCTCTGTTAACCCTGTTTTCTGTTTCCACAGATGCTGCCAGACCTGCTGAGTTTCTCCAGCAATTTCTGTTTTTGTTGTAGCAACTAACTGATGGACAGGTAAAGCTGAATGCTCTTGCTCATTAGGAGAGATAGTAATGGCCATTCCAATGTTTCCCAGCACCAGAGTTGTAGCCAACTATGTCACTGATGGTATGATGGAATACTCATCCTTAATGCACCTTCTCAAATCCCACTTCACCCTTGGTTGCAGTTTATGATGTACAAGCTGTTACTTTACCCCAATCTATAATATCCTGAGGATCCCAGCATCATAAATGCTAAGGTTTAGCCAATTTAATTCACCCCACATTATCAAAACTTGGCCTGAAGGCACTGCAAAGATTATGGGCCCTGACAAAGTATAATATTAGTTATAGAAGATATGTTCTTCAGAATTGGCTGTGCCCCTAGATACATCCACAATACTGGCATCTACCAGGCTGAAATGTCTGTTGGTCACTGCTTATGGCTTTTACCTCAAGTTCATGAAACCAACCCCTTGGTAAGTACTTCAATGTTCTTCAGTGATGAAGGATATCAAAGATTACAAAGAGATCTTGATCAATTGAGTCAATGGGCAGAGGAGTGGCAAATGGAGTTTAATTTGGATAAATATGAGGTATTGCATTTTGGTAAAACAAACAAGGGCAGTACTTATTCAAGTAAAAGTAGGGCCTTGGGTAGTGCTGTAGAACAGAGAGGCCTAGGGGTTCATGTACACAATTCTTTGAAATTTGTGTCACAGGTAGACATAGTGGTTAAGAAGGCATTTAGCAAGCTTGCCTTCATTGCTCAGACCTTTGAGTATAGGAGTTGAGATGTCATGTTGAGACTGTAAAGAACGATGGTTGAACCTCTTTTGGTGTACCATATCCAGTGCGGTCACCCTGTTATAGGAAGAATATCATTAAGCTAGAGAGAGGTCATAAAAGATTTATGAGGATGTTGCCAGGAATGGAGGGTTTGAGTTATAAGGAGAGGCTGGATAGGCTGGGACTTTTTTCACTGGAATGTAGGAGACTGAGGGGTAACATTATTGAGGTTTATAAAATCATGATGGGTATAGATAAGGTGAGTGGCAGGTGTCTTTTCCCTAAGGTTGGGGTTTCAAGACTAGGGGGCATATTTTTAAGATGAGAGGAAAAAAATTTATAAAAGACATGAGCGACAACTTTTTCACACAGAGTGGTTTGTATGTGGAATGAACTTCCAGAGGAAGTGGTGGATGCAGGTGCAGATACAATGTTTAAAAGACATTTGGATAAGTACACAAATAAGAAATGTTTGGAGGAATATGGACCAAGTGCACACAGGTGGAACTAGTTTTGTTTGGGAATGTGGTTGGCATGGACTGGTTGGACTATAGGGTTTGTTTCTGTCCTGTATGACTCTGATTATTTGTCACTGAAGCACACATGAAAATACAGTAACCCTCTACGTATTATGTTGTTGGTTCAAGCACAAGTGTCTCATTGTCAAAAGACCCTGTAATAGATACTTCGTAAGCAAAAAGTCTATGCTTGGTTTCAGTACTCATCATATGCATCATGTTGTGTTTGCCACAGCAATCTAATGCTATCACAAAGCTGTGCAAATAGCCAGTACAAATGATTTAAATTTTAAATGTGATGCTTTTAAAGCCCATTTGGACAATATAGGCTTATGACAGTGAAATTCTTCCAATCAGACTCTTCCTCCATACACGTAACATTGTGGAGAACGGTACTAGATTTGGTTCGCAAAAACTACAAATCCCAGAACAAACGAATGCGGGCGTGCTTGTCTCCTCTAAGAGAGGGAGTTATTTGAATACTGCTTGACGGATCCTGGTTGGTATGAATAAGAGACTGAGAAAGCGGCGCCTGCGCTGCGGGAGGAGGAATCGGGGCGTTGGAAACAGCAGCAGCACTAAGCAGCGTCGGCACCGGCGGCCGCTCCAAGCTTCTCAAACCCGCTGACTTGAGGCTTGCATTAGACCAGCATCAGATCACATCAGCTCCGCACACAGCGATCCATGCACACGGTAAGCGCCATCACCGCCTTTATTTTCTTTCCTTGTGCGAAACTCACCTGTTCATTACAAGCTGTCATTTGTTATTTTTTTCTCTCTGCAAGCCAACAATACTATGAATGGATGCAGATACAGTGTCTTAGGGTATGCAAAGGGGTACAGGTTGCTTAGCGTTCTGTGATTGTGTTAATCTTTTTTTTAAAATGCACGTTACGCGGTAAGGATCAGAGACACAGGATGTAAAACGGGAAAAAAAAACCCATAAAAGCCTCTGCGATGATGTTTCAGGGGAATTGCTTTAGTAAGTCTGAGATCGGGTGGGGGAGCCGCTGCAGATGGCTAGACATTATGTGCTGTCGGATAGCTCTGCCATTTCCTTTGACATTCCACATGTTATATTTGAAAATCAGTGTTACAGATTTTTATATTTGCTCTTTTAGTGTCCCACCCACAATAGTCATATCATTATTACTATCATTTCTCCTCCCCCCCCCTCCAATCCCTTCAGTAATGATATGTCTCTCAGGATCATAGAATCCCTACAGCGTGGAAGCAGGCCATTCGGCCCATCGAGTACACACCGACCCTCCGAAGAGCATCCCACCCAGACCCATCGCCCCCACCCTATCTCTGTAACTTTGCATTTCTCATGGCTAATCCACTAAGCTGCACATGGTTGGACTGTGGGAGGAAACCGGAGCACCCGGAGGAAACCCACGCAGATACGGGGAGAATGTGCAAACTCCCCACAGACAGTTGCCCGAGGGTGGAATCGAACCCGGGTCCCTGGTTCTGAGCCACCCTGCCCCGTCCCTCTTCTGGGGACAGTAAATGATACGAAAATGCAAGATGACAGTTTACACAAATTGCAAGTGACTGAAGGGGACGTTTCGGCCCTTTTACCTCTGACCGCCTTCCCACACCAAAAGGCTGTCCCCATCGCGGGCAGTTAGAAATGCTTTATTTTACTCCAAGTGAAGTTATTTTAATTTGGGCACAAGGTGAATCAGGCGCCTTTTTTGCTTTGAGAAGTTGAAATCTGATAAAACAAGCGTAAGCGGAAAGGTTACCTAGTATTACAACTAAGACGGAAGAGGGAGCGTACACTTCTGCACCAGGTCGGATGCAGTGCTGACAAATCCATGCCCTGGGGCGGGTAGGAGCCGAACCGCTGTTTTACTGTTCATTGGGTTGTTGGCACACGTCTCAGTGCTTCAACATAACGTTGTGGTTATAGAGGAACGTGCCCTCATGTTCCTTTCAATTGCTTCAGAGTCATCGCGTATATATCAAACAAACATCGCCCTAAGAAGCAGTAGCCGCGATTGTAAAAAATGTCATTATAAATAAATCGAGATTTGAGCCTTTCAAAGCGTGTTCGCGTTGACTCGGGCTGCGTCTCTGTAATGGGGCGGTGCCTCTCGACTTAAGGGTCTCGTAATGAGCTGCAAGTGTTGTCTTACAGAGAGGAAGGCGCGATAGATTCCTCCTGATATCGTAGATGCAACATTCGGTTTTGTTTCATTTTCTTTTTAAACTCGAGAATTCACTTTGAGAGTGTGGAAACAGCATTGAAAGATATTGCTCCGCGCTGATTATGTGTCTGTGGATGTCATTTTTACCGCCTTGTCGACATGATTTTTTTTAAACTGTCGTTCTGGGAACTGGCCTAACGAAATACTCATTTTACATACAAAGAGGTACCACCCCTTTCAATTTTGGGTACTCTAATTTTAGCTGCTGTGTATCCAATTGTCGTTTGACAGTACCTTGCCGTGGGTGACATACGACTGACGCATTCGGTCAGGAAGCAGTGTCTGAACAAGATACATCTATTCATATTTTCTTTTACTTATTGCAATGGCCAGTCACTGGAAACTCGATTTAACTCCATTACACTTTAGTCTGTACTGTTTCTGTATTTCGGACGCTGAGACGGATTTATGATTTGGCGTTTACTGTAAGAATAGCAGCGAGGCAAGCAGCCCTCATTGATTTGCACATGAACAATAATCTGCAACTTCGGGCAAATATACAGTTAATTCCAGAAGATCTGGAAGTTTCTCTCCGAGATGTGCCCCATCGCAGGCTGCAGGAAAAAAGGATATGTTGCATTCTGTCGAGTTATTAACATATACTGTACAGTGTGAAGATCCTGTACTTATAAGGTAGTTGGGACTTACGCAATTTGATCTAATAACTTATTTAATGGTATATTACAGCCATTTAACCTTTCCGAAAATATTACTTTTACAAATATGATATTTTATTCCTTCATGTTGGTTGAATGGTAATTGTTTCCTAAGATACTGGGATAACACCTCTGCCATTTTTTCAAAAGTGGCGTGGGATTGTTTACATAATACCAGAGAAGGCAAATGAGGCCATGGTTTAACATCTCAGACAAAGAACCACATCTCTGTGCAACACTTCATCAACAATAGTGAATCAGTTTGAATTATTTTGATAAGCTGCTGCATATGAGTGTGGGTACCCTAAGTAAGTCTGCTCAACATATTATAACAGGTGCAATTATATTAAATAATCATAGTTTAAAACACAAGTTTTGGTATGACAAAAAGTTGAATCAAAGTGGTGATTTTAAAGTACATCTTGAGGAGAAGAGGGACTTCAGAGGATCATGAGTCGTTGAACTCACTTTCCCAAGGAGTGGTGGAGGCAGAGTCATTTAACGTTTTTAAGGCAAGAGTAGATAGATTTTTGACTAACAAGCAAGTCAAAAGTTATTGGAAGTAGGATGGAATATGGAGATGAGGCCACAATCAGATTAGTCATATTTCTTTTGAATGGCTGTGTGGGCTAGAGGGGCATATTGGTGGGGCAGAGGGAGTTAGAGATGTACAAAAAGTCAGGATTGGATGAAAGCTGATTTCTCAGAAGGTTTTTGGCCTGGAGGAAGTTACAGAAAAAGGGAGGATTCAGGCTATGGAGGGAATTGAATACAAAAGTGCAAGTTTTAAAAAATGAGACTTTTAAGGCTGAGAATCAATGCAGTTCAGCAAAATGCAAAGCTGGTGGGTGAAAGAAGCTTCATACAATATAGGACAAAACAGAGTTTTGGATGAACTCACTTCTGTGGAACATTGCAATCTGTACCCAGCCAGTACAAGATTTAAGTAGCATGGTTGGACATAACCAATGCATTAAGGCTCGAGCCTCACTCCACAGACTTGAGCACATAATGCAAATTGACACATCTTTGCAGCACTGAACGGTTGCTGCACTGTTGGTAATGCTGTTTTCATGTGCACTGTTGTACTGAAGTCATATCTGCTGATTCAGATGGTTGTAAAAGATCTCAAGGTACTCTCTGAAGAAGAGCAGATTAATTTTTCTTAGTGTCCTGGTGAATATTTATCTCTCAACCCAACATTAGCAGTACCATTTGTAGGATTTTGCTTAATGCAAATTGGCTGTTGATTTTCTCTACAATACGATAGTAACTGAACTGTAAAGTATTCGTTTGACTTATGAAACATTCTACATAAGTTAAAGTTCTTTTCTGCAAAACATACAGGCTATGGTTTGTAAACCACCTTTCAAAAACACTCACTTTTTTTGGAGAAGAAGGCTTTGTTTTTTGATTGAGTGTGTCAGAAATACATTGAACATGAGAAGTCTGTTTTTAAAACATAATTTAATTCATTTTCCTTTGTGCTATGCCTCATGATTTGGACGTATAGATTACTAATGTTTTAATGAACAAATCTCAAGGCATTACTAGTGACAGTGTGCCTGACTGGGGGAGGAGTTGAGCATACAGAAGGAGTATAGTTAGATAGAAGTTGGAGTCACTGTACCATCACAAATTAATGCAGAAAGAAAATGAAACAAAAGCAGGCTCTGTTGCTAATCAGTATTTGTCTTATACAGGGAAAGTTTGGTTAATGAGGTCTCTTGTTGAAATTTTCACTGTTTTGACAAGCTGGTTTTCCGTACCCTATCTGTTTCACATTGCTTCATCCCCATAATCCCTTTCATCGTCCACAGTTCTTATCATCTGGCATCCTTATACATGCCTATCTTCCTCCTAATGGTATTGCTTCAACTTATTGATGTCACACAGCTACGTTATTTTTACTGCTGATCCAGGGTGTCAATCAAATAATTTACTTTCCCAATTTTTTTGACTATCTGTGCTCTCAGTGGTTCCTCTATTAGATCAGCTGGTAAAAAATGCATGTCTTGGCCTGCTTGTTGGTGCATTCCCTTTTGTTTGTTTGTGAAGCTGTAAGCCATTCCTGAGCCACTTTGCAGGATCTTGTGAGGTGCTTGTTCCCTGAACACAGAACACATAATCTAACATGGGAGGTTTGTCCTCATATTCTAGATAATTTCCAAATCAAGCTGTTCTGAGATGTTTTTGCATACCTCCAAAGCAGGAGGGACTTGAACCCAGGCCACCTGGCTCAGAGGCGGTGACACTATCACTGTGCCACAAGTCTTGTCCCTCTGTTATAAAAACTTCGACTAATTTCAGATGATCTATCTCATAAATTCATTAGCTAATTCAAAAGGACTAAAACTGGTAGACAATTAGACGAATCCTGGAGGGCAGAAAAAATTCCAGTCAGAATCTGACTGAAGAAAGGGTCACTGTATCCAAACATTAACTCTGATTTCTCTCCATAGATGCTGCCAGACTTGCTCAGTTTTTCCAGCAATTTCTGTTTTTGTTTCTGATTTCCAGCATCCACAGTTCTTTCGGTATTTTTTTAAAAATGACAGTAGTTTCATTACAGTATTCCCTCATCATTGTTTTGCGGGTTTGATGGTACTGTTCTAAAGCCCCTTGTGTCTGTTGGTGATATGCTTCTTTAAATTTATTCACAGGACATGTGTGTCATTGGCTAGACCAGCATTTACTGAACATCTCTAATTGCCAAGATGGCAGTTAAGAGTCAACTACATTGCTTTAGGTCTGCAATCATGCGTAGGCCAATTTGGCCTGTGATGGCAGTTACTTTCCCTAAGGGATATCAGTGAACAAGATGTGTTTTTCCTGATGGTCAGTGATAGTTATTATTAAACTCTTAATTCCAGATTTTTTGTTAAATTCAAATCCCAACAGCTGTCATGATGGGATTCAAACCTGGGTGCCAGAACATTATTTGGGTCTCTGAATTGCTGATCCAGTGACAATACTGTAAGGCTATCAACTCCCTGTATATGTACTGAGGACTTTAACTGTGTTAAACACAGATGCTCATAGCTTCTTGAAAAGGTTTAGACATAGAATTGGAACCTTCATCTGACTGGATCGCCATCAGTAATCTACATAGGAGTCACAGAATCACAAGCATGGAAACAGACCCTTTGGTCCAACTAGTTCTCGCTGACCATGTTCCCAAACTAAACCAGTCCCACCTGCCTGCGCTTGGCTCATATCCCTCCAAACCTTTCCTATTTATGAACTTATCCAAATGTCTTTTAAATGTTATAACTGTACCTGCATCCACCTGGCAGTTCATTCCGCTTCATTGATTGAAGAACTGAGATAATGTCTTTCCCACGACCTTGGGACAAGTTGCTATCAAGAAGATAGATCCTGCAAACAGAGTAGCCATATCCGTAATAGTAAGGCTGTGCTGGAGTCCTGCTGCTGGGTTCCATCAACATCCCAGTCAGTTGACCAATACTGAATGGTTCAAACCAAAGGAACCTTTATTTTACACTGGTAGAAAGATAATCTTGATTGTGAAACAGGAGACATCTTCAATAATATAGTGTTTTTTGCAATTTATATACTTCTGTAATTTTATTACAATCATGATGCCATCTATAACCCAATTATTAATATTAAGAAGGACTGGAATTTCATGCATCACACCAATCACACAAAATAATCATCACCATCTAATTTAAAAAATGGAGGAAGACATTGTTACAACCAAATGGCCCAGTGAGCATCCATTCACCCCTATCACAGAAAGAAAGAAAATCGTCTAAATAAAGATCAGCTTTGGAGCTGGGGATACCTCGATCAATACCTTGCTTTCAGTTGTAGAAGTAGTATCAGCACTCAGTATGTGTCCAGAACAGACTTTCAGGATCGAAGTGGGTGCCAAGTGCCAATCATTAAGTCCTTAGCAGGTGTGTTTGTAATACACTTCACGAGAATCTACAGTGTGATTCATATGTCTGCTTTTGCACTTTGTAAGTTAGCATCAAGAATCATTCTAAGAATCACCCAGTGATCACTGTTCAGCTCAAAAACCCTACTTCATGTCAGACCTCATGACAATGGAAATACTTAGGCTTTTGGACATTACTTCTACCCTCAGCACCTTCCCTTCTGGCCTGAGGCAGATCCCAAGGTGTTGTCAGTTGTCTCTTCTCGTCACTGCGTACTTGCTTATCTTTCACCATCTGAAGAAGAGTCTAGGCCCGAAACGTCAGCTTTCCTGCTCCTCTGATGCTGCTTGGCCTGCTGTGTTCATCCAGCTTTACACCTTGTTATCTCAGATTCTCCAGCATCGGCAGTTCCTACTATCTCTTCAGTTATATGTTTTCTGGTTTTGGGTTGTCCTGGATGAGTTCCCAATGCTGTGTTATGTCCAAGATTGGCGTAGTGCTCTGTCTCTCTCTTTAGTCTCACTGCTGCACAATCACAACATAAATTTAATTGCATTACCCAGTTACTGGCCAATTACATACTTTAGAGCAAAAAGATCCATCA